CCGAAGACCACCCCTGCGCCTCAGTGTATCCAAGCCCAGCCTGCTATGGAGGCTGGCTATGGCGCTGCCCTCAGCAGTGCCCTGCTCCCACACACGACCGCACGTGCGCAGCCTCTTGCTCCAATGCCGGCAGCCAGCCCGCGAGCAATTGCTCCAGCAGCGCTGCCGCCAGCCAGCAAGTGACCGAATACCCATCCCAGGGGAGAGATCTTTCCTTTATGGAAAAAAGCTGGCCTGCTTGCGCAGCCTGGCTGCACTGGCCTGGGCCCAGAAGCTTCTGGTAGGCCCCAGGATGCTGCGTGCTACTTGCAGCGTCTGGGCCTCATTCGGTTGGGCCTCCCAACAGTCAATGTACGAGGCTGCGATTCACGCCCAGGGCCTGCATTCTTTGGAAGGGCCCGGTAGGCCTTGGAAATGTCTTTGTTGCTCGGCCTGTGTTTCTCTCAACCAACTGGCGCATCGCAACTGCCTGTACCCCAAATATGAAATTGACAGTCGAAGGCCTCTTGTAAAATGTTAGGCCCACCTTCACTTAGGCCGGGCACCACTGCAACCGGGGCCCCTTAGGCCTGCCGAGGACTCAGATCCTCGCACTTTCCATTCTTTTGGTCATCTGCATTTGCCCCCAACCACATCTTCTCCTTCCCCCATTCCACTCTGCCCCCCTATTATTGGAGGAAAAGGCACTCGTGGAGTCTGGCCCTGTACGATTGGTTGTTTGTTCACAGCTAGAAAGATGGCATCGCATCCCTGCTCAGTTAAGCAGGAGGCACAAACATTTGTGCCACCATCTCCGCTGCTGCTGTACCCTATTTCCATCCTACCAGCTAGCCCCCTCACTAGTAGGACGCTTGATATCCCACCATCTTTTTTTTAAGACCCCACCCACCCTTTTTTTTGAAACAAAAAGATATGCACAATTCAGAAAGGGATCCAAACACAGCCAATCAGTCCCCTGAACCCCACTCCGGCAAGACTTACTGCCACATAGCCACCATCTCCGCTGCTGCTACACCCTATTCCTATCCTACCAGCTAGCCCCCTCACTAGTAGCCTCTTCGTTGTGAAGATATCCCACCATCTCTTTCTCCCACTCACCTGGATCCCTTTTTTGAAAACGTCTGAGAACACTTGCGGTAATTCAGGAGGCATGGGAATAGACCGCAGAGGTCCTACAAATGCTCCAAAACCCTCGAAATCCCTAACAGACCCTTCCAAAGTTCTCCAACACTGTCTTACTCC